TAAGAGAATCACACGTATTGGAGGGTTGGACTGTCGAAAATGATCAAACTATGATTAGAGATTCGCACCTAATGGAAGGTTGGACTGCCGAAAATGGTCAAAATATAATAAGAGAATCGCACGTATTGAAGGGTTGGACTGTCAAAAATGATCAAACTACGATTAGAGATTCGCACGTATCAGAGGGTTGTACTGCCGAAAATGATCAAATATATTATTAGAGATTCGCACGTATCGGAGGGTTGGTCGAAAATGATCCATTTATTTTTAGAGATTCGCACGTATCAGAAGGTTGGACTGCCGAAAATGATCAAACTTATATAAGAGAATCACACGTATTGGAGGGTTGGACTGTCGAAAATGTCAAACTATTATTAGAGATTCACACGAATTGGAAGGTTGGACTGCCGAAAATGATCCAACTATTATTGGAAAATCACACGTATTGGAGGCTTAGACTGTCGAAAATGATCAAACTATGATTATAGATTCGCACCTATTGGAAGGTTGGACTGCCGAAAATGGTCAAAGTATTATTAGAGAATCGCACGTATTGGAAGGTTGGTCTGTCGAAAATGATCAAACTATGATTAGAAATTCGCACGTATCGGAGGGTTGGACTGTCGAAAATGATCAAACTATTTTTAGAGATTCGCACAAATTGGAAGGTTGGACTGCCGAAAATGATCAAACTATTTTTAGAGATTCGCACGTATCAGAAGGTTGGACTGTCGAAAATGATCAAATTATGATTAGAGATTCGCACGTATCCGAGGGTTGGACTGCCGAAAATGATCAAATATATTATTAGAGATTCGCACGTATCGGAGGGTTGGTCGAAAATGATCAAACTATTTTTAGAGATTCGCACGTATCAGAAGGTTGGACTGCCGAAAATGATCAAACTTATATAAGAGAATCACACGTATTGGAGGGTTGGACTGTCGAAAATATCAAACTATTATTAGAGATTCACACGAATTGGAAGGTTGGACTGCCGAAAATGATCCAACTATTATTAGAAAATCACACGTATTGGTGGGTTGGACTGTCGAAAATGATCAAACCATGATTAGATATTCGCACCTATTGGAAGGTTGGACTGCCGAAAATGATCAAAGTATTATGAGAGAATCGCACGTATTGGTGGGTTGGACTGTCGAAAATGATCAAACCATGATTAGATATTCGCACCTATTGGAAGGTTGGACTGCCGAAAATGATCAAAGTATTATGAGAGAATCGCACGTATCGGAGGGTTGGACTGTCGAAAATGATCAAACTATTTTTAGAGATTCGCTCGAATTGGAAGGTTGGACTGCCAAAATGATCAAACTATTTTTAGAGATTCGCAAGTATCAGAAGGTTGCACTGCCGAAAATAATCAAACTATGATTAGAGATTCGCACGAATCAGAGGGTTGGACTCCTGAAAATGATCAAATATATTATTAGAGATTCGCACGTATCGAAGAGTTAGACTGTCGAAAATGATCAAACTATGATTAGAGATTCGCACGTATTAGAGGGTTCGACTCCTGAAAATGGTCAAACTATTATAAGAGAATCGCACGTATTGGAGGGTTGGACTGTCAAAAATGATCAAACTATGATTAGAGATTCGCACGTATCAGAGGGTTGGACTGCCGAAAATGATCAAACTATTATTAGAGATTCTCACGTATCGAAGGGCTGGACTGTCAAAAATGATCAAACTATTATTAGAGATTCACACGAATTGGAAGGTTGGACTGCCGAAAATGATCCATCTATTATTAGAAAATCACACGTATTGGAGGGTTAGACTGTCGAAAATTATCAAACTATGATTAGAGATTCGCACCTATTGGAAGGTTGGACTGCCAAAAATGGTCAAAGTATTATAAGAGAATCGCACGTATTGTAGGGTTGGTCTGTCGAAAATGAACAAACTATGATTTGAAATTCGCACGTATCGGAGGGTTGGACTGTCGAAAATGATAAAACTATTTTTAGAGATTCGCACGAATTGGAAGGTTGGACTGCCGAAAATGATCAAACTATTTTTAGAGATGCGCACGTATCAGAAGGTTGGACTGTCGAAAATGATCAAACTATGATTAGAGATTCGCACCTATTGGAAGGTTGGACTGCCGAATATGGTCAAACTATAATAAGAGAATCGCACGTATTGGAGGGTTGGACTGCCGAAAATGATCAAACTATTATTGAAGATTCGCACGTATCGGAGGGTTGGAATGTCGAAAATGATCAAACTATTATTAGAGATTTACACGAATTGGAAGGTTGGACTGCCGAAAATGATCCAACTATTATTAGAGAATCACACGTATTTAAGGGTTGGACTGTCGAAAATGATCAAACTATGATTAGAGATTCGCACCTATTGGAAGGTTGGACTGCCAATAATGGTCAAACTATTATGAGAAAATCGCACGTATTGGAGGGTTGATCTGTCGAAAATGATCAAACTATGATAAGAGATTCGCACGTATCGGAGGGTTGGACTGTCGAAAATGATCAAACTATTTTAAGAGATTCGCACGAATTGGAAGGTTGGACTGCCGAAAATGATCAAACTATTTTTAGAGATTCGCACGTATCAGAAGGTTGGACTGCCGAAAATGATCAAACTATGATTAGAGATTCGCAGCTATTGGAAATTTGGACTGCCGAAAATGGTAAAACTATTATAAGAGAATCGCACGTATTGGAGGGTTGGACTGTCAAAAATGATCAAACTATGATTAGAGATTCGCACGTATCAGAGAGTTGGACTGCCGAAAATGATCAAACTATGATTAGAGATTCTCACGTATCGGAGGGTTGGACTGTCGAAAATGATCAAACTTTTATTAGAGATTTACACGTATTGCAAGGTTGGACTGCCGAAAATGATCCAACTATTATTAGAGAATCACACGTATTGGAGGGTTGGACTGTCGAAAATGATCAAACTATGATTAGAGATTCTCACGTATCGGAGGGTTGGACTTTCGAAAATGATCAAACTTTTATAAGAGGTTTACACGTATTGGTAGGTTGGACTGCCCAAAATGATCCAACTATTATTAGAGAATCACACGTATTGGAGGGTTGGACCATCGAAAATGATCAAACTATGATTAGAGATTCGCACCTATAGGAAGGTTGGACTGCCGAAAATGGTCAAACTATTATAAGAGAATCGCACGTATTGGAGGGTTGGACTGTCGAAAATGATCAAACTATGATAAGAGATTCGCACGTATCAGAGGGTTGGACTCCTGAAAATGATCAAATATATTATTAGAGATTTGCACGTATCATAGGGTTGGACTGGCGAAAATGATCAAATTATTTTTAGAGATTCGCACGTATCAGAAGGTTGGACTGCCGAAAATGATCAAACTTTTATAAGAGAACCACACGTATTGGAGGGTTGGACTGTCGAAAATGATCAAACTATGTTTAGAGATTCGCACCTATTAGAAGGTTGGACTGCCGAAAATGGTCAAACTATTATGAGAGCATCGCACGTATTGGAGGGTTGGACTGCCGAAAATTATCAAACTATTATTGAAGATTCGCAAGTATCGGAGGGTTGGACTGTCGAAAATGATCAAACAATTATTAAAGATTCTCTCGTATCGGCTGGTTGGACTGTCGAAAATGTTCAAACTATGATTAATGATTCGCACCTATTGGAAGGTTGGACTGCCGAAAATGATCAAAGTATTATGAGAGAATCGCACGAATTGGAAGGTTGGACTGCCGAAAATGATCAAACTATTTTTAGAGATGCGCACGTATCAGAAGGTTGGACTGTCGAAAATGATCAAACTATGATTAGAGATTCGCACCTATTGGAAGGTTGGGCTGCCGAATATGGTCAAACTATAATAAGAGAATCGCACGTATTGGAGGGTTGGACTGCCGAAAATGATCAAACTATTATTGAAGATTCGCACGTATCGGAGGGTTGGAATGTCGAAAATGATCAAACTATTATTAGAGATTTACACGAATTGGAAGGTTGGACTGCCGAAAATGATCCAACTATTATTAGAGAATCACACGAATTTAAGGGTTGGACTGTCGAAAATGATCAAACTATGATTAGAGATTCGCACCTATTGGAAGGTTGGACTGCCAATAATGGTCAAACTATTATGAGAAAATCACACGTATTGGAGGGTTGATCTGTCGAAAATGATCAAACAATGATAAGAGATTCGCACGTATCGGAGGGTTGGACTGTCGAAAATGATCAAACTATTTTTAGAGATTCGCACGAATTCGAAGGTTGGACTGCCGAAAATGATCAAACTATTTTTAGAGATTCGCACGTATCAGAAGGTTGGACTGCCGAAAATGATCAAACTATGATTAGAGATTCGCAGCTATTAGAAAGTTGGACTGCCGAAAATGGTCAAACTATTATAAGAGAATCGCACGTATTGGAGGGTTGGACTGTCAAAAATGATCAAACTATGATTAGAGATTCGCACGTATCAGAGAGTTGGACTGCCGAAAATGATCAAAGTATGATTAGAGATTCTCACGTATCGGAGGGTTGGACTGTCGAAAATGATCAAACTTTTATTAGAGATTTACACGTATTGGAAGGTTGGACTGCCGAAAATGATCCAACTATTATTAGAGAATCACACGTATTGGAGGGTTGGACTGTCGAAAATGATCAAACTATGATTAGAGATTCTCACGTATCGGAGGGTTGGACTTTCGAAAATGATCAAACTTTTATTAGAGGTTTACACGTATTGGTAGGTTGGACTGCCCAAAATGATCCAACTATTATTAGAGAATCACACGTATTGGAGGGTTGGACCATCGAAAATGATCAAACTATGATTAGAGATTCGCACCTATAGGAAGGTTGGACTGCCGAAAATGGTCAAACTATTATAAGAGAATCGCACGTATTTGAGGGTTGGACTGTCGAAAATGATCAAACTATGATAAGAGATTCGCACGTATCAGAGGGTTGGACTCCTGAAAATGATCAAATATATTATTAGAGATTCGCACGTATCATTGGGTTGGACTGGCGAAAATGATCAAATTATTTTTAGAGATTCGCACGTATCAGAAGGTTGGACTGCCGAAAATGATCAAACTTTTATAAGAGAACCACACGTATTGGAGGGTTGGACTGTCGAAAATGATCAAACTATGTTTAGAGATTCGCACCTATTAGAAGGTTGGACTGCCGAAAATGGTCAAACTATTATGAGAGCATCGCACGTATTGGAGGGTTGGACTGCCGAAAATTATCAAACTATTATTGAAGATTCGCACGTATCGGAGGGTTGGACTGTCGAAAATGATCAAACTATTATTAGAGATTCTCTCGTATCGGCTGGTTGGACTGTCGAAAATGATCAAACTATGATTAATGATTCGCACCTAATGGAAGGTTGGACTGCCGAATATGGTCAAACTATTATAAGAGAATCGCACGTATTGGACGGTTGTACTGTCGAAAATGATCAAACTATGATTAGAGATTCGCACGCATCTGAGGGTTGGACTGCCGAAAATGATCAAACTATGATTAGAGAATTGCACCTATTGGAAGGTTGGACTGCCGAAAATGATTAAACTATTATTAGAGATTTACACGTATTGGAAGGTTGGACTGTCGAAAATGATCAAACTATGATTAGAGATTCGCACCTAATGGAAGGTTGGACTGCCGAAAATGATCAAACTATGTTTAGAGATTCGCACCTATTAGAAGGTTGGACTGCCGAAAATGGTCAAACTATTATGAGAGAATCGCACGTATTGGAGGGTTGGACTGCCGAAAATTATCAAACTATTATTGAAGATTCGCACGTATCGGAGAGTTGGACTGTCGAAAATGATCAAACTATTATTAGAGATTCTCTCGTATCGGCTGGTTGGACTGTCGAAAATGTTCAAACTATGATTAATGATTCGCACCTAATGGAAGGTTGGACTGCCGAATATGGTCATACTATTATAAGAGAATCGCACGTATTGGAGGGTTGTACTGTCGAAAATGATCAAACTATGATTTGAGATTCGCACGTATCAGAGGGTTGTACTCCTGAAAATGATCAAATATATTATTAGAGATTCGCACGTATAGGAGTGTTGGACTGTTGAAAATGATCAAACTATTTTTAGAGATTCGCACGAATTGGAAGGTTGGACTGCCGAAAATGATCAAACTATTTTTAGAGATTCGCACGTATCAGAAGGTTGGACTGCCGAAAATGATAAACTATGATTAGAGATTCGCACCTATTGGAAGGATGGACTGCCGAAAATGATACAACTATTATTAGAGAATCACACGTATTGGAGGGTTGGACTGTCGAAAATGATCAAACTATGATTAGTGATTCGCACGTATCAGAGGGTTTGACTGCCGAAAATGATCAAAATATTATTAGATATTCCCACGTGTCGGAGGGTTGGACTGTCGAAAATGTTCAAACTATGATTAGAGATTCGCACCTAATGGAAGGTTGGACTGCCGAAAATGGTCAAACTATTATAAGAGAATCACACGTATTGGAGGGTTGGACTGCCGAAATTGATCAAACTATGATTAATGATTCGCACCTAATGGAAGGTTGGACTGCCGAAATGATCCAACTATTATTTGAGAATCACACGTATTGGAGGATTGGACTGTCGAAAATGATAAAACTATGATTAGAGATTCGCACCTAATGGAAGGTTTGACTGCCGAAAATGGTCAAACTATTATAAGAGAATCACACGTATTGGAGGGTTGGACTGTCGAAAATGATCAAACTATGATTATAAATTCGCACGTATCGGAGGGTTGAACTGTCGAAAATGATCAAACTATTTTTAGAGATTCGCACGAATTGAAAGGTTGGACTGCTGAAAATGATCAAACTATTTTTAGAGATTCGCACGAATCAGAAGGTTGGACTGCCGAAAATGATCAATCTATGATTAGAGATTCGCACGCATCTGAGGGTTGGACTGCCGAAAATGATCAAACTATGATTAGTGATTTACACGTATTGGAAGGTTGGACTGCCGAAAATGATTAAACTATTATTAGTGATTTACACGTATTGGAAGGTTGGACTGTCGAAAATGATCAAACTATGATTAGAGATTCGCACCTAATGGAAGGTTGGACTGCCGAAAATGGTCAAACTATTATAAGAGAATCACACGTATTGGAGGGTTGGACTGTCGAAAATGATCAAACTATGATTAGAGATTCGCACCTAATGGAAGGTTGGACTGCCGAAAATGGTCAAAATATAATAAGAGAATCGCACGTATTGAAGGGTTGGACTGTCGAAAATGATCAAACTATGATTAGAGATTCGCACGTATCAGAGGGTTGGTCGAAAATGATCCATTTATTTTTAGAGATTCGCACGTATCAGAAGGTTGGACTGCCGAAAATGATCAAACTTATATAAGAGAATCACACGTATTGGAGGGTTGGACTGTCGAAAATGTCAAACTATTATTAGAGATTCACACGAATTGGAAGGTTGGACTGCCGAAAATGATCCAACTATTATTGGAAAATCACACAAATTGGAGGGTTAGACTGTCGAAAATGATCAAACTATGATTATAGATTCGCACGTATTGGAAGGTTGGACTGCCGAAAATGGTCAAAGTATTATTAGAGAATCGCACGTATTGGAAGGTTGGTCTGTCGAAAATGATCAAACTATGATTAGAAATTCGCACGTATCGGAGGGTTGGACTGTCGAAAATGATCAAACTATTTTTAGAGATTCGCACAAATTGGAAGGTTGGACTGCCGAAAATGATCAAATATATTATTAGAGATTCGCACGTATCAGAGGGTTGGTCGAAAATGATCCATTTATTTTTAGAGATTCGCACGTATCAGAAGGTTGGACTGCCGAAAATGATCAAACTTATATAAGAGAATCACACGTATTGGAGGGTTGGACTGTCGAAAATGTCAAACTATTATTAGAGATTCACACGAATTGGAAGGTTGGACTGCCGAAAATGATCCAACTATTATTGGAAAATCACACAAATTGGAGGGTTAGACTGTCGAAAATGATCAAACTATGATTATAGATTCGCACGTATTGGAAGGTTGGACTGCCGAAAATGGTCAAAGTATTATTAGAGAATCGCACGTATTGGAAGGTTGGTCTGTCGAAAATGATCAAACTATGATTAGAAATTCGCACGTATCGGAGGGTTGGACTGTCGAAAATGATCAAACTATTTTTAGAGATTCGCACAAATTGGAAGGTTGGACTGCCGAAAATGATCAAACTATTTTTAGAGACTCGCAAGTATCAGAAGGTTGGACTGCCGAAAATGATCAAACTATGATAAGAGATTCGCACGTAACTGAGGGTTGGACTGCCGAAAATGGTCAAACTATGATTAGAGATTCGCACCTATTGGAAGGTTGGACCGCCGAAAATGATCCAACAATTATTAGAGAATCACACGTATTGGAGGGTTGGACTGTCGAAAATGATCAAACTATGTTTTGAGATTCGCACCTATTGGAAGGTTGGACTGCCGAAAATGGTCAAAGTATTATTAGAGAATCGCACGTATTGGAGAGTTGGTCTGTCGAAAATGATCAAACTATGATTAGAAATTCGCACGTATCGGAGGGTTGGACTGCCGAAACTGATCAAACTATTTTTAGAGATTCGCACGTATCAGAAGGTTGGACTGCCGAAAATGATCAAACTATGATTAGAGATTCGCACGTATCTGAGGGTTGGACTGCCGAAAATGATCAAACTATGATTAGAGATTCGCACCTATTGGAAGGTTGGACTGCCGAAAATGATCCAACTATTATAAGAGAATCACACGTATTGGAGGGTTGGACTGTCGAAAATGATCAAACTATTTTTAGAGATTCGCACGTATCAGAAGGTTGGACAGCCGAAAATGATCAAACTATGATTTGAGATTCGCACGTATCTGAGGGTTGGACTGCCGAAAATGATCAAACTATGATTAGAGATTCGCACCTATTGGAAGGTTGGACTGCCGAAAATGATCCAACTATTATTAGAGAATCGCACGTATTGGAGAGTTGGTCTGTCGAAAATGATCAAACTATGATTAGAAATTCGCACGTATCGGAGGGTTGGACTGCCGAAAATGATCAAACTATTTTTAGAGATTCGCACTTATCAGAAGGTTGGACTGCCGAAAATGATCAAACTATGATTAGAGATTCGCACGTATCTGAGGGTTGGACTGCCGAAAATGATCAAACTATGATTAGAGATTCGCACCTATTGGAAGGTTGGACTGCCGAAAATGGTCAAACTATTATAAGAGAATCACACGTATTGGAGGGTTGGACTGTCAAAAATGATCAAACTATGATTAGAGATTCGCACCTATTGGAAGGTTGGACTGCCGAAAATGATCAAACTATTATTAGAGATTCTCACGTATGGGAGGGTTGGACTGTCGAAAATGATCAAACTATTATTAGAGATTCACACGTATCGGAGGGTTGGACTGTCGAAAATGATCAAACTATTTTTAGAGATTAGCACGTATCAGAAGGTTGGACTGCCGAAAATGATCAAATTATGATTAGCGATTCACACGTATTGGAAGGTTAGACTGCCGAAAATGATCCAACTATTATTAGAGAATCACACGTATTGGAGGGTTGGAATATCGAAAATGATTAAACTAATATTAGAAATTTACACGTATTGGAAGGTTGGACTGCCGAAAATGATCCAACTATTATTTGAGAATCACACGTATTGGAGGGTTGGACTGTCGAAAATGATCAAACTATGATTAGAGATTCGCACCTAATGGAAGGTTGGACTGCCGAAAATGATCAAACTATGATTAGAGATTCGCACCTATTGGAAGGTTGGACTGCCGAAAATGATCCAACTATTATTAGAGAATCGCACGTATCATAGGGTTGGACTGGCGAAAATGATCAAATTATTTTTAGAGATTCGCACGTATCAGAAGGTTGGACTGCCGAAAATGATCAAATTTTTATAAGAGAACCACACGTATTGGAGGGTTGGACTGTCGAAAATGATCAAACTATGTTTAGAGATTCGCACCTATTAGAAGGTTGGACTGCCGAAAATGGTCAAACAATTATGAGAGCATCGCACGTATTGGAGGGTTGGACTGCCGAAAATTATCAAACTATTATTGAAGATTCGCACGTATCGGAGGGTTGGACTGTCGAAAATGATCAAACTATTATTAGAGATTCTCTCGTATCGGCTGGTTGGACTGTCGAAAATGTTCAAACTATGATTAATGATTCGCACCTAATGGAAGGTTGGACTGCCGAATATGGTCAAACTATTATAAGAGAATCGCACGTATTGGAGGGTTGTACTGTCGAAAATGATCAAACTATGATTAGAGATTCGCACGCATCTGAGGGTTGGACTGCCGAAAATGATCAAACTATGATTAGAGAATTGCACCTATTGGAAGGTTGGACTGCCGAAAATGATTAAACTATTATTAGAGATTTACACGTATTGGAAGGTTGTACTGTCGAAAATGATCAAACTATGATTAGAGATTCGCACCTAATGGAAGGTTGGACTGCC